CCCCCCCCCCCCCCCTTTCACTCTCCATGGACATGCCTGCTTGTGTTTCCACACTGCATTAAATCTGTTACAATTCAACCTGTGTTACAAACATCTAGGGCAGGGGCAGCATATCGCAGCACATACTGTCAATCACACAGTTGAACTGTTAATAGGCCCTTTCTGTAGAACTTGTGTGTAACTTGACATTGACTGGCTGCTTCAGGATACCTCAATGACATATTTTCACATATCTGTTTTTATTTACATGGTTGGAGGAGAGTCTGCGTCGGTGTGAGAGAAATATTTGAGAGGTGTAGCCTGCGAATCAGTCTGCAACAAGGAAAAAAAAAAAAAAAGGAGTCTGCTCCCCCTTAAACTTCAACGTGTGTATCTCCTGTAATGGTTCTGCCCTGCCTCTCCTCAACATGTTGCTAGATGGCATCTTAGATGTGGTTTTACCTCAAGTATTAGTGAGTACAACAAGTTCTGGACTAAAGGAGAGCTTACGGGGCATTTGGTCAGTTGAACAATTTGCAGTAGGAGCATAGGATGGCAAAATAACTGTTTAAATTAATTGAATTATTAACACTGTTACAGATATGCTTTTATACAGGATAAAAGCCCCCATTAAGCCTACTTGCGAATTTCCATGTCAGCGTAGTGGCTATTTCTTGATTAAAAAGCACATTTAATACACATTTCTATAGTGTGTTGGATGGCTTATATTGTAGTTGACTACTATGTTGTTTGTCTATAGCAAGTAACCTGTGGTCTTATTAATCCAAAAGCAATTAGATTAGATTATTATTGCCTTAAAAGGTAACACAGATATGAAAGTGTACATTAGCTCATGTAGGCAAATGTACAGTACATTCATTTGATTGGATTGAAAGGGCTAATTATTTTTAAAAAGCAGAAAGGGAAACTATTCCAGCAATCTCTAAAGATCCTGTTGATTGCAGATCCAACCCTTATTCAGTACATTTCAAAAGCATTCACACCAGGCAGTAATCTTGCATTCATTTGTGCTTTATTAGTTCAACCTAACAGAACAGTTATGTGAAAGATTTTTTTTATTTTTATTAATTGTTCATGTATGAAGTTGACTGCTTAAACATGCAGTGTTAACAACAATACATGAGTTATACAAGAGCCAAATTATAGTATCAGTAATAGGGAAACGTAACTTGGTGTTGCTATAAGTCATACTATACATTTTATGTAGCTTTTAAAATAAATTTCTTATTTAAATTTTATTTCCTGAGCTTATTAAAATCATGTTGACTAAAACGGTGAGAAAGACTGAAAAGAAGCACCGGGACCTAAGCATATATGCATATTATAGGTATAAGTGCATGCATTTTTTCGAGTGAGAGAGATGGTTGAATCCTCCAATTTAGTGCCTTTGTTTAAAATGTGATATTTAAAAAAAAAATAGATCTCCTCTAAATGATACATTTCTGGACAAAAAAACACGTCATTTTTAAGATTAAGTAGGCTTAATGAGGGCTTTCTTCTCTGTTTTTAACCTATTTTACTCATAAATGTTATAATGTATAACCTTGGTTTAATTCATGCCGTGCATTTTTATCTTAATGGCTTATTTATTCTTTTGCCGCTTGTACAGCAGTGTTGTTACATTTTTTATATTAGTATTATTATATCACCACTTATACTGTTACAATAGATGTGAAGTTTCCATATGACATCAAAATACTGTTAAATACTTGTCTTATGCAACAAAAGGAGGAGATGGGTTGAAATAGTGTAGTGTTTGTCTCCATCTAATGAAAATGACACAAAGGTTATTATATCCACTGTGTCCGCTCAGATCAGTGTAAAATGGAGAAAACACAGCAAGGTTACATTTACATTTAGTATTTTCAGGAAGAGGAGTTTCTTGGAAAATGATTGTGCTAAGAAACTTGTCATGTTTGAAAATGTTTTCTCATTAACGAAACAGCACACTCTACACTTTTAATTCACTGAATTGTTGGTGAAGTTATTGTAACCTGAACAAATGAACACATTTTCCAGTGTTTTAGTGACAGCAACAAAGACCGGGGTCCTGTTGTGGGGAAAAAGGCTGTTGGATGTGCATGTGTAATTGCATTAAAATGAAGTTGGCTCAGATTTTTGGTTAACTTATCTTGATTAGACGAGGACAAATCCAATTCTACATTTGGACATCAAATACATTTCCAGAAGCGAGCTGTGAAATAACTTTTTCAGCAAAAAAAAATAATTCGGTTGCAAAGTAAAGAAGTGTTGGTTTTGTCCAGTTCTCTACTTGTTTCTGTCCGTTTTATCACACAGAACTCTTTTAGCCGTCCATCCCCATTTGTCATTGGTTTGGTAAGGAATCTGTATATAATGGATCACATCCACATTGTGGTTGTTTTGTTTAAATTTATATCAGGGATGTTGGGGAAACTTTTTATTTTTATTTTGTTATTTAATATCTCCCTAACAGAAAACATGATGTCCCCTTTTATCCCCCATGAAGTGAGCCACTGTATTTTGTTGCTTATGTGTGTCTGTTTTTATACTCCAATATTACTGGCAAATAATGAAATACTGGGGGGAGGATTATGAGAATGGAGTTTCAGACCATATTAATGCTAATTTCTTAAGGTGACATCCTCATGTACTCTTCAAGCTATAACCCAAAATCTTTCCTTAATTTCCCTGTTTGAGAACAATTTACTGAATGAGTATTGCAGTAATCTTCACAAAAACTGTCATAATGTGGTGTATTATTTACATGCCTAAACTAAAACGAATACCCAGTGTTCACTAGTGTTACTTGACTGCTGATTGCTCTGTGGGCCAGTCAAAAGTGTATTAAAGAGGTAAAACGAACAACATGCGGCTGTTAACAGGTCAGAATCTATCACTACGCGTGCAGTGTTTGCTGTATTTTTTTACTCATTGGCAAACTTTTCTTTATATATTGAAGTAGCAAATAACCTTCCATTTGCCAAGTTTTATATTGCTTGTATACAAACACACTATGTACATACTTTATGTGACAGTGTTAGAGGAGGTGTCTGGCCATTTGAGGATGAGAAAATAAAACTCATGTCTAGTTAGATGGATTTCATATAGCATCTGTCCGATGAGGACCTATTGATGAAAATGTGCTTCCTACACTGCAAAACTTGGAAATGACATTGTAAATAAAGCTTGTATAAAACAGGCTGCTTGTTCTGATTTTTACACAACATGATGACCGACATAAAAAACATTTTCAGATACCACACTCAGTTGTTTGGGGTCAGCAGTAGATTCCCCAGCTGACTTGTATGTAACTAAGCAGTTTAAGATTAGATTTTAAAGAAGTTAGAAGAAGAGCACAGATACCCTAAATAAACATGACCATAACACTTGAGCAGGAGAGGACAAAAACCTTGGGGGCAGGTAAAGGTCGTCCCAAGAAGTATGTCATACACACAGTCCTTTGGATGAAAAGTTTTTTCAGCTGCTTCCTTTCACCCTGCCAAGCAGTGTTTCTTTGCTTTCATTAGATCATTAACTAGATGAGACAGTATCCAAGTCAAGCATGGAAGGTAGATGATGGAAGAGGGGATTCCAATTGTGTCCTGAAAATACCCTACAGCACATGATTCGTCTTAGCATAATGCAGAATTAGACTTTGGCCTTTATACAGTTTATAGTAAACTCGGCTTAACAAACAGGTTTTCTGTAATAATAGCTCGCCTAAGCCACCATCCTGTCTTTGGTCGTAGTGTTATAACCACCCTCGCTAATGTGGCACAACTCCTGTCCTGTATTAGCTACGGATCATGGTTAATTCTGCTTTTCAGTATATGCCTCTCTTATGAACTGAGTCTGTGCACACACAAACACAGCCCTGCCTGCCTGGGAAATGAAGCCTGGATGCCCCTCAAGGCTGCAGACACAGGAACTTCCCCGTATCAGTGTCCCATCCTTCATTCCTAAGAGCTTCTTTTTCCCTCTCTCCCTTACCTCAGCCTCTGGGTGCTTCCTCCTGACATTTCACAGCAGAGGTCCAAAGTCAATAAAAATACACTTCTCTGGTTTCTCACTCACTTCCATCGAGATAGGCCTGAGTGTAAGGAGGGGAGATGATAGTTACAGTCCAGTGTGTTGATATCACTTTATCACCAAACCTAGGTCATGTCATATGTTGATGGTTTATTTTATGCCAGTTATAGGTACCAAAAACAAGCAGTAAACAATAAGTTGTCATTGATTTTTTTCCACTGTTTACTTTAACATTAGTGTGATATCTTGAACAGGATAATTCTCCATAACAAGTGGTCATTAAAAATGTGTTTATCCTTCTGCAGGACTTGCAGGAGAGATGCATGGATTACCGTACATTATGGCATGGTGA